GCATCCAAGGTTAGCAGAGGTGATTTCCTTGTAATAATCAGTTATGGCTATTTCTTGCCTCCAGAGCTCCAGGGATTTTGCCAAAGATCATCACAGAAGCCAAAAACGCGTAAACATCAGAATGAAGATGAAGCAATTTATTTTATACAGTTGAAATAAATTGGCGCACAAGTTTGGGCAGACGTTAACAGCGAGGAAAAAGATTAAACAAAATATATGTATTTATTAAAAGTGCACTAAAACTCTACTTTAAAAACATAGGCACATTCCACCCTTGAAGTAGCAAATATTTGAACTAAGAAGTCCTGAATCTATATGACATGTTACATTTCAGGATCTCTCGGATAAGAGCCTTGAACCAATAAAACAGGACCAACAATTCAATATCTCTAGGCTAATAACCTTGAACCACATTAAGCAGAAGAAGGACTGGATTTATATCCCGCCCTTCACTTGGAGTCTCAGAGAGGTTTACAATCTCCTTTCCCTTCTCCTCCCCAAAACAGACACACTGTGAGGTAGAGGAGGCTGAGAGAGCTCTTTCAAGAACTGCCCTTAAGAGAACAGCTCTGAAAGAACTTATGACTGACCCAAAGTCATACCAGCAGCTGCATGTGGAGGAGTGGGGAATCAAACCCGGTTCTCCCAGATTAGAGTTGGCGCTCTTAACCACGACACCAAACTACTACACAAAACAGGACCAAACGCGTTTCAGCCTCCAAGGCCTTCCTCAGCGGTCAAATTATTGTATACACGCTCACTATGACATATAAACATGTGTTAATTGCCAAGACAGGTTGATTATAGGGCATTCCAAATATTAAGTGCAGGGGGGGGGGAAATGAGGTTGTATGAAAAGTTTTCTTAAACGTTTAAGCACACACATCCAGGGAATGCAGATTCAATAACTCCTTCCGACCATGGCTATCAAAACCCTAGAAGGCGGCGTCCCTGGACACAAAATGAGAAACTAAACAGCTACAACCCAGTGGCTAACATTCCAGTCTTGTGCAAAGTGCTCAAACAGCTGATGCCTAAGAAGCTTCAGAGGAGATCAGTCATCTAGACCTGTTTCAGGCTGGATGCAGGCATGGCTTTGGGACTGAAATGACCTTGGTCGCCCTGACTGATGATGTTTGCCAGGAGAGTGACAAAAGAGTGTGTCCCTGTTGACTCTCATGGTATCCTTCTGATGAGTGTAGACAAAGGCCATGCCTGTTTGTGGCTTCTACAAGATCGATCAGCAGCCTTTGATGCAGTGGACCACCCCATCTTGTTGGGATATTTAGAGTAAGAAGTACGGATTAAGTGACGTGCTTTGGGTTGATTTAAATAATTTCTTGCGGGGGAAAAGCGGTGCAGTCTGAAATGGCAAACCGCTTCAGATCCAGCTCTTTACCGGAAGGGGAAAGCCATGTGTGAAATGGCAGCCCTATACCGGTTTACTCCATGACGGATCAAAAACAGCTTCAAAACGGGTTAAAAAGGGTAATGTGAAATTAATCAACAAGAAACTAAACAGCTACAACCCAGTGGCTAACATGTCAGTCTTGTGCAAAGTGCTCAAACATCTGATGGCTACGAAGCTTCAGAGGAGATCAATCATCTAGACCTGTTTCAGTCTGGATGCAGGCATGGCTTTGGGACTGAAATGACCTTGGTCGCCCTGACTGATGATGTTTGCCAGGAAATTTGGGAGGGGGTGTCACCCTTAAACACACACACACCCCCGGCCACGGACCTGGTTTGTGGATCTGCTTTTCTGCTTTATCCCCCTCCATTGTGTGGTGAGTGGCTTTTTTCTCCACAGTTGGTCAGGTTCTGCACAGTTCTTTTTTTAAAAAAATATTTTATTTATTGGTTTTAAACAACATTAGTTTTCTGTTATACATGCATCTTAGAGTCATTTATTCCTTTTCCATCCAATTATACAATCCCGACCATCGCTTTTCAAAAAGTTCTTCATTTTTCCCTTGCAACATTAAGTTCAATTTATCTATTTCCGCTACTTCCAACAATTTCTCTGTCACTTCCTCTTGTTTTGGGGTATTATCTTGTTTCCAATATCTTGCCCATAAAATCCTTGCTGCTGTTATCATATACAGTATTACATATTTATCATTGTAATTTATACCTTCTGGGAGAGAGTTCGTGCTCTTAACCACTACACCAAACTGGCTCTCAAAACAGGATAATCCTTAACCGAATTCAAATTGGACAGTGTTAACTTATGGGTGGAAGGCATTGTGTGCATTTATTTGTTCGTTTCGTTTTGTTCATTTGTTCATCTAAGACATTTATTTGCCACCTTCCTACCTACCTCAAGGACCTCAAGGAGGCTCACAATGCAAACACAATAAAATCCACAAAATCCACAAAGTGAAATCAACAATTTAGAATTGCCAGCAGGCAGGAAAAACTAAAAGTAACTGAACACCATCATAAATACAACTCTCTTCAACTGCCTTCTAGAGGTTGAGAGTGAGGGGGCCAATGGCACCTTTCTTGGGAGGTTGATCCATACTCCTGGGGTTGCCACTAAAAAGGCCCTGTCTTGTGTACCCACCAGATGAGCTTCCTTCGTTGATGAGACAGTCAAGAAGGCCTCTCCCTGTGATCTTACTTCCTTGACAGGAACGTACGGGAGAAGATGGTCCCTCAGATATCCCAGTTCCAAGCAATATGGGACTTCAAAGGTCAAAACCAACACCTTTAAAGCATGGTGCTACAGACTGTAGTTTTCCATATAAATTTCCCAATTTGCTCCCCATTTTCCACACTTTCCATATTGCTTTTCCAAGCAGAGTCACGTTATGGTTGCAGATCACTGGCACCTGATGAAGTTGAAGGAGACGCCTGGTGCTGAGTGAGACCCCGGGTCCCGCGGTCCTCTTCGGATCGCCATGTCCAAATAGGGGCTGTGCAGTCACATGTCTTCTGCTGGGGGATCTCAGTCACTGTCAGGGGTTACAAGAAAGAGACGGGGCTGATTCAGGTTGTAATGAAGACTGAATTCTCACCCACTTCGTGTGTTAAGACAATAACACCAAGAAGAAGAGTAAGAGTTGGATTTCTGCCCACCCTTAACTCAGAGTGACTTACAATCTCCTTTCCCTTCCTCTCCCCACAATAGACACCCTGTGAGGTAGGTGGGGGCTGAGAGAGCTCTCTCGAGGATTGCCCTTGAGAGAACAGCTCTGGGAGAACTTGTGACTGACCCAAGGTCACACCAGCGGCTGCATGTGGAGGAGTGGGGAATCAAACCCGGTTCCTCCCAGATGAGAGTCCGCACAGCGCTCTTAACCACTGCACCAAACTGGCCAAAGTAGTTGGCAGCTCTGCCCTTTGTACTTGCTCAGTGGCAGCCTTCCCGGGGTACTCCCAAGGCTCTGGCTACTTGAGAGGCTGGGTTTTATATCTCGGGGTGGTTGCTTCTACGTGATGATGAAGGAGGAGGAGGAGGAGATTGGATTTATACCCCGCCCTTCTCTCGGAGTCTCAGAGCGGCTTACAAACTCCTTCCCCTTCCAGTCCCATATTGGTCTGCCCGGCCATTTAGTGGCAGGGGAGGGAAATTTAAGCAAAATATATGGGGAGAGGGGAGAGGGAAAGGTGCCAGCCAGTGCAACCAATCACTGCTGCCCTCAACCAAAAGCCTGGCAGAACATCTCCACCTTACGGGCCCTGTGGAACTGCACAAGGTCCCAACCACTGCTGTCCTCAACCAAAAGCCTGGCGGAACATCTCCATCTTACGGGCCCTGTGGAATTGCACAAGGTCCCAACCACTGCTGCCCTCAACCAAAAGCCTGGCGGAACATCTCCGCCTTACGGGCCCTGTGGAATGGCACAAGGTCCCAACCACTGCTGCCCTCAACCAAAAGCCTGGCGGAACATCTCCGCCTTACGGGCCCTGTGGAATGGCACAAGGTCCCAACCCTGCTGCCCTCTACCAAAAGCCTGGCGGAACATCTCTGCCTTACGGGCCCTGTGGAATGGCACAAGGTCCCAACCACTGCTGCCCTCAACCAAAAGCCTGGCGGAACACTTCCGCCTTATGGGCCCTGTGGAATGGCACAAGGTCCCAACCACTGCT